CAGAGCTGCTTGGACTGTTGTAATGATCATATTTCTTGATCTATGCATGTGTATAACCAGCTTATAGCGTTTAAAGAGGACACATTTAGTTGAACGGTAAGTAAAGAATTTAACAAGCTCCTAAAATATGTTGAAATTATTTCACTTTTCATTCATTTTTCTAAAAACATAAACACTGATAAGTCAAGGACTTTGAGTACTTTTCACTTGTCTTCTCACTTCTCACTTGTTGTATGATCTGTGGGGCTCAGGCCTTAAATGCAGTAAAATGTAGGCCTGCTCCTGCTGCCTCTCTCTTACTAGGTGAGTAAATATCAGCAGTTATATATATTAGCAGTAAAGTAACAAAGATATTCATATTTTACTATACAGTATACGAATATATCACTGATGGGACATGAGGCCTGTTGAAGGCAACCAAGCTGGGGACAGACTCAAGGTCAGATGAAAACCATGGGTTGAGCAAATTGAAGCCCCTCTGCTGCCACATTTGACTTTTATTACTGTGTAACTTTTTACAAAGTGCATAGACACATTGGCCACATTTTAGGGAAACCTTGCTATGTGAACCACGCACATCCTCCTCGTCCAGTGAGGCAGGGGCAGATGAAGAGCAGGTGTGCATGAAACACCACTTAATGCAATAAAATAGGAATCTGGAGTTCTGCAGTGGATGGAAGATTATTTATTATTATTTATTCTTCTTTGTTAAAGTGAACCTGAGAAGTTAGCAGCAGCTTTTTTGTGACTTTTTGAGCTTTTTTGTCTATTTGTCCATTTGTGTTCAAAATAGGTCTTCCTTTGAGCAGAAACCTTTTAGTTTTGTTCTAATACCTCTTGCTAACTCCTTCCAGGATTTATATGCCTTGCTAAATTACCTTTCATTTTTCTTGGCTTCTTGTTCGTGCATCTCCTGCCCTTTTGCTGTTAGTTTTCGTAATTCAACATAATAATACCGATGATGCCCTGAAATCAGACAATGTGCCATTTCAATTTTTACAGGAGTACAACTGATAGCATAAAGTCCACATTCATACTTTAGACTTCCAGGTTGAAGATCATTTCCTCACAGAGCTTACAAGATGCACATGTGCATGACATTGTATTTATAATGCCCTTATTATAAGTCCTTTACTGATGCAGCAGTCTCAATTTTATTTATATAGCACCAAATCACAACAAAAGTCACCTCACAGCACAACGAGAAGGTCCTGAGTTCAATTCCACCATCAGGCCGGGGTCTTTCTGTCTGGAGTTTGCATGTTCTCCCCGTG